AAAGCGAATAGAGTTTAATAAGTATGAAACACTGAGTTGAATCAGTGATGCACATGAAACAAGTTTTACTGGGTTGTATCAGTGATGAGGGTGAAATGCAATGGAGATGAAACATGATGTAAGTAAAACATGATAGAGGTGAAATGCGATAGATAAGAAACACTGATGTAGGTGAAACACATCAAGTGATGGGATCAGTCATACAGTTTACAGGGTCAACGACAAATAGTTAGGAGAAGAAAAGGAACCCCCCTCCCAGCTGTAACACTTTGTGTCTATGGCATCATTGGCCTCTCAAGCAGGTATCTACAATCAGATAGCTCATGTAGTTTTCAGTTTTGACGAAGATGAAGCTACATCTGCTGCATTCCAATGCAATCCTAATGAGTCAAAATGGGGAAGTGCAGTGAGATGACGAGTACTAGAGTAAGTCCAGTGCAAATTATACATTTTGCAAGTGCTGAAGTTTTGTAGTTTACAAAGGAAGTACACTGAAATCAACAGAGAACTCAACACAACTGGCCATGGACTCACAGAAGAAGATTATGTGACAGGCTATGAAAACATTCACCGTATGTATTTTATCTATATAATTAGCTTGATACTCATCGATTGATCAAAAGAAAAATACAGTATAGAGTTTCCATGGTTGGAATCAACGCACGAGTGGTGGAAGGGGCGGCCTAATATAGATCATTCTATGACAGTGAATTCTCAACTCGGACAGCATTTTGATGTACCCACCAGAAAGAAGTCATTGCGTACTACTCCTTTGGCATGCAACAAAGACTCTGAGGATAGTGGTAATTTAGATGACTGTGATAGTGGTTTGGCTTCCAATTCAAGCTTGGATGATTCCAGCAGCGGCGCATCTGTGAGGTAAGTAATCTGTGACTCATGTATGATAGCCAACTTATTATGTATCAGCGAGTATATCTGCAGTGATAGAGATCAGCCCTCTAACGCTCCACCTCTCTGTCTGACACATCACTGCACTACACGCTCACCACCCAACATCTCTAGACCTCAAATGGATCCATTATTCAATCCATCTGGTGGTGGTGAACCTCCCTGGCAGGATGCAACATGGCATGAGGGTGAGGCTGTCTTTGCTCATGCATTTGACTCCCTTATTGGTGCAGAAACACGCAATGAGTCAAACGTTGAAGGACAGTGGAGTGTTACCAGTCCTGAGTGTATGCAACCCTTTTCGTCAATGAGCTATGAGCCTAGTCAATATAAAAACGGTACGTTATTATCACTCTTGTATTATAGCTTATTTTATGTATTGCTGGGATCAGTCTCATCTAGTCAGGACCAATTCCATGCATATACTCATAATTCCCACTCATCTCTCTCGCTCAACACACTCAGTCAAGGCCTCGGCAACATGCGCATGAGCTCCCATGAAGCTATTTTATCTGGTACTCATGATCTCTCACTTTCCCAGTCTCAGTCTGCCACCCCTGCTCCTTTGTCTCAGTCGCATCTTCCTCTTCATTCAAACTCATTGCATCACATTATCCATATTCCGTCAGCTTCAGATATGGTAGCTCCAGTGTCAACAAATTCACAGGCTGAGGTGGATATAGCCACATCATTGCGTCGTCAGTCTACTGCACAAGCTGAGGATGGTAGCACTCGGCAATCCAAGCAACAGAAGACTACTCCTGCTGATGGTGGCTGTGGATCTGGAGCAAAGGGAAAGGAAAGGGCTGGGAGTTCAACACCATCTCAGACTCGGCAACCGTGAGCAAGCAAATCACACAAGTCTCATCAGGTAAGTTACCACTCTATGATAAGAAATTATCTTAAAGTATATGCAGGCAGGATCATCTTCTTTGCGTACTAGATCATCAGCATCCGCAATTGACGTATCGTCAATGTCTAGTTCATTGTTAGCCAGTAGCTCATCAGCAGGTGATTCATTATCTTCTATGGCTGGATCCTCATTGTCTGCAGTTCGATCAACAGCATTGCAGGCTGATGCAGCATCTCTGGTACGTATTTATTCAATTATTTTTGATAATACTCACTCATTGCAATAGGACCTGGCATCGCTTCTCTCATCTATTCTACATCCACTTGTAACACAATCTACAATGCGCCGGTCCGAGATTCACAAGGAGAAGATGCGCAAGCAATCTCAAGAGCGTGAGAAAGACATTCTCAAGCTACAATTGCGACTGCAGCATGCCTGCAACACTGGAATGCGGCTAGCCTACAGCCACTGGGATTCTGTGCGTCAGATTGGCGAGACTAACCCTGATCTTCTCGACAAGATCAAAGCAAGTGTAGATGCCACTAACCGGACAATGGAGCTCAATTCACTGAGTAGTGCGACATTAGTGGCAGGTTCACATCTATCCCATAAGATGTCAGAGGATCTTGAATTGGATCCTGAGGATTCTGGTAACGTTGACAAGCTTGATTTTACTCAGGACGAGTATACTACTGAGGACTAATGTCGTTTATCATGATGCTAATGTTCTGGGATGTCTGTAGTATGTTTGATCTGCTTTACACATGGAATATGCTCTGTTGTATGATATTTTCTTTCTCTATGTTATATTCTTTGTGTGTTTAGTAAATGCTTATGCTAAGTCCTATGTTATGATTTATGTTCCAAACTATTTGAGTGAACCTTCCAAGTTATATAACTATACAATGGGATGAACTTCAAGGATATCTTTCATCAATCTCTCTCTTCTCTCTTTGCCACTTTCTAGAAAAGCCACCTGAACCTCTTCCTCCTCATCTGCCTCCTCTCCTTCATATGAATCTTCTTCATAATCCCTGCCCCTATATCTAGCCCTGTCTTCTCCAAGCTCTCCTATTATTTCATTCCACTGGTTGTTGTCAGTTAAATCTTTTTTTGCATAGTGTAAAACTACTTGTGAACAACAATACAGCTCTGAATCCATCTATTAGCCCACTTGCAATTGTCTTCATTGCTAATCCTGATACGAAGCTCTTTGAGAGATTCCAAACACCCCTTGAGAAGACCTATTGCATGCTCTACAGCAATACGAATCTTAGAGAGCCAAAGATTGAATCTTTTCTGTTCAGGTGTAAGACTACCACCAGGAGGGCGCTTAAATGGAGTGAGAACCCAATGAGCAAGTGTATAGGCAGAATCAGCCCATATCCACTCATCAGGGCTAAGAAGTGAATTGTGGGAATCAGAAAGCCATGTCTCTTTGAAAGCAGTAGCATCATGGACACTGCCAGGTGGTCCAACAGCATAGTCAACAATTTGGAGAGTCTTGACATTGACTACAGCCTATTAAGAGAGAAATTAGCATAATCTATTCATTAAAAAAAACCAAGAATACCTGAAGATTTATAGCATAAGTCTTGTCTTTTCCATAAAATAATTCATCAAAAAGACCTGGCTTCTCAGCAAGATTGATTGCAGTCCCATCTGCTACCAAAAACCCATCCCTCCATGATTTGCATTGGGTTAGCTCCTCCACATACTTCTTTGCAGCCTCAATCTCCTCTTGATTTAGAAAGTCCATAGAGAAGTCATGGTGTGTCAAAAGAGCAACCACAACATGATGCATACAGTTATGCACAGTTCCAACTGCAACGCCTGCCCAAATTGCTGTATCCAAAGAAGTTGAGGCATTACCATAGTGACCTGCTCAATAAAGGTAGATACAGAGCTGATGATGAACAGGAGTTTGCTTGTTTTTGTTTCCAAAAACCTCATGATCCTATTTAAAATATTAAGGATGGGTAGGTAAAATATGATATAAAATTGAGTTACCTTTGTTTTTTCAAGTATCATATCAAATGCAACAGGTGGAACTTGTACTACATGCATCCATTTGCGATAATCATCATTTTTCCATTCAAAAAGCTGAGGAAAAATCGATGACTTGGGCTTATGTGTGTGTGTGCGAGAAGTCTGAAGATATTGTAAATTTGCCTGATAGAGCTCCTGTTTTTGCTGCTCATACTGGGCAAAAAGCTGATGAAGAACCTGAATAAAGTCATGCTCAAAATAATCAAGATCATAGTCTGATGAGGCTGAAGGAGATTCTGAGGCCAAACTTGACAACTCCAAGGTTAAGGTAGACTCCAAGTTAGTGGATCCTGAATCTATATCCAATGATATAGGGGATTCATCTGTTGTAAGCAC